ATTCGATACGATATTCGATATTCGTCCAGCTGTTTGAAATTCAACATGGCGGCCATGCCATGCATTTTTCATTTTTCGCGCAATCTCGGCCGGTCTTCCGATCGCTCAAGCTCAATTAATTTTAACTTCGTTAATCACTAGCCGTTAAAACTGTCATCTTCTCTTCTCATTTAGAAGTATTCCATCAATTCGAGACGAAGCTTTAACCCCAGGGCCAACGAGAATCATGAAGAAGCCATGGGAAGTGCGGAGGAATCGAAATTCAGAGTGGATCTTTACAGGTACAAGTCGTTTTTCTTGTATGTATTCCTTTCCATCGCCTCTCCCACATTTCCGAAAATTTAGTGTAATGAACCGATAGGAAATTTTACGGTCGTTATTTCGGGTCCTATGACATTTTCCTCTAAGATTGAAAGTTTAAAAGTAAAATGAGGAGAAAGGTCGCTGATCATAAGAATTTTTGCCTGCGCCCTTTTTAAAACCCTTATTTTTGGTCACGAAAATTACTTTTTCGAAAATTTTGTGTAATGAACGTATAGGAAATTTTACGGTCGTTATTTCGGGTCCTATGACATTTTCCTCTAAGATTGAAAGTTTAAAAGTAAAATGAGGAGATAGGTCGCTGATCATAAGTATTTTTGCTTGCGCCCTTTTTAAAACCCTTATTTTTGGTCACGAAAATTATCTTTTCGAAAATTTTGTGTAATGAACCGATAGGAAATTTTACGGTTGTTATTTCGAGTCTTATGACATTTTCCTCTAAGATTGAAAGTGTAAAAGTTATATGAGGAGAACGGTCGCTGATCGTAAGAATTCTAGCCGCGGCCTCTCTCCGCCGTGAGCCGATGCGAGAAAAACGGAGTTCAGTGGTTGAGGCGGTTTTCTTGCCACACTTCGTGAACGATCGACTATAGCTGTGTCCCCGTAAGAAGCTATGGTAAAGAATCGATAGTGCGATACTCGAACAATCGCATTCGATACGATATTCGATATTGGTCCAGCTGTTTGAAATTCAACATGGCGGTCATGGTCATGCCATGCATTTTTCTTTTTTCCGCGCAATCTCGGCCGGTCTTCCGATCGCTCAAGCTCATGCTCAATTAATTTTAACTTCTTTAATTACTAGCCGTACTGTCATCTTCTCTTCTCATTTAGAAGTATTCCATCAATTCGAGACGAAGATTTAACCCCAGGGTCAACGATAATCAAGAAGAAGCCATGGGAATTGCGGAGAAACCGAAGTCCTGAGTGGATCTTTACAGAGGTAGGAGTCAGTCGTTTTTCTTGTATTCCTTTCATTTGCCTCTCTTTCAACTTAATCGCGGAAGCTTACACTATGTACTGATTCTTCTATGAGAACGGAGTGAAGTTGCTATAACTTACGATGTTATAACAGAATTGTCATCAGACTCCCGTGACGGAACATGTCTTTTTGTCTGTTGCTGGATTTGTCTTGGAGACTGCTGTGGACCAAGAGGCATCTCTTTATTTCCTCTTTTCTCATCTAGTCAATCAATGAATGCAGACCGGTTCTTGAAACTCTGTTGGCATGCCAGGACAAGATAAGGAATGTGTGAGCTTTGCGCTTGGAATACCTTGATCCCCTTGGCCTGGGCATGCTGACAAGAATTTCAACGATCGATTCCTGTGTGTGAGACTGATGCTAACAATAAAGAAGGAACCTCTGAGCATAGTGAAGAGTGTTTTACAGGTTTTATTTCCCAATCCCCTGCAAATAGCAAGAACTGTGAATACTGTTGCTACACGGCCAATGATCACCCTAGTTCGGACTTAATAGCCAGGTATTTCCTGCCTGAATTTCCTCCTCAAGAATTGTAACTTTCTCATTCCCCATATGTCCTGTAACTCTCTCCTTCTTTCTTTTTCATGTCGTTTATTCTCTGAAGGAAAGAGTTAGTTTGTCTGCATGTAGTCATGCTGTGATAATGAGGCCAATTTCATCATTTTGAAAGCTCACCTAGACCTTCCTGCGAATTGATAGGTTAGCCACTGTTTCACCCGATTGTTTCTCTTTCTTTATTCAATGGGCCAGTTGCGTTGGTAACAGAATCATGTTTTGATGCTTGGTTTTAGTAGATCAGCTCTAAATAAGTAGATCCATCCCAACAGCAACTCTCCGCCGGGTTATGGCAGGGCGGGGAAGTGGCTTTTAAAAAGATGCGCAATGACTGACCTGTGTGGATTGGTCTTGTTTCCATCGTTTCAACTCTAATTTTTTCTTAAATACCTGTTTACTCTGCACTCTAGAGGTGTTGTCAGCTAAGTTGGCACTTGTTTACATTCCACTTGCAAGCAATTGCGACGCTATTGTTCAACATCAATAGGGGATTGACGGCAGCACAGTCAATCCTCGATTCCTGTTGGACGACTACATTATAGTTGCTTGCAAACGATGTGTATTCAAGTGCCTACTTAGCTGACAACACCTCTACCTCAAGTTAGCAGTATTACTTCTGATAGTTTTACACAAGTTTGTCCTACCTCTTGAAGGCATAAAGTTATTTGACCAATTTCATCTACTCTCCACCGTCAACCTTCTCTGGTATTGACTCGTTTTACACTCATGAATCTTTATTCTCGGTTCACAGTGTACTCTTGGTTTTAATTGATAGGAGTGGGTATGTAGAGACCTTAAATTAATTGAACAAGAACTAAAGCATTTTGCCATATACTTTGTATCTTTGTAAACTTTATTTGAGAAGAGTTAAACTCCTGTTTGAGGTAACAACTTCAGTGGTAATCTTACTGTATATCTCTTCGCACTGTACGACTGGCTAAATGATCTGCTATAGACTGTTTACACAATTAAAAGTAGTCAGCAAAAAATCAATTAGTCTCTTAGTGAGTGGTATTATGTTCGGAAGGTTGCTTTTGCAACAATTAAAAACCTGCTCATCATATTGCAGGTACTTGAAAAAAAGAAACCCAAAGAATTTTGTTGCCTTCTTCCTAATGTAGATTTCTTCTTTTTACAGATTTAAACACATATCAAAATGGCACCAGAGCCACTGGATATCTCTGAGCATGAGTTGCTCTTCAAAGCAACGGATATCTCTGATCATGAGTTGCTCTTCAAAGCAACCAATTTTACCAAACTGGCCTCCGTAGATATGTGTCAGGTATGAATTATAAATGTTGTTCATCAATTAAAATAATTTTGTTAATCAATGAGAACTGGAATACTTTTTTAGGTAAAATAGCTCATATTTTTTCTGTTCTTTTTTTCTCATATTTTAGTTCAAAACCTGTCAAAGGTCTCTCCTAAAATGTCGCAGGCTCAAGGAATTAATTTCAAATTCGGAGTATTGCATTTTAAATTGACAAGTTCTTTTGAACAAACACTTACAGCTTAAACACAGCTTACAGCTTGTAATAATGACTTAGATTATGCATAGTGATGCATCGTACATAAAGGGAAGATGTCCCCTAACTTTTTAGTCCATCGATTTTTCACCAACATTCTGTAATCTACTTAGCACAACTTTGATATGAGAACAATTTGTTTTTACGGACAAAGAATTAAGTTAAAAGTGTGAACAAAGTTATGTTGAAGCTGTACACCAAAGTGAGAAATCATGTATCTCCATCGCAGTGTTTCAAAATTTCTGTTCCTCCCCCCCCCCCTCTATTTTTGAAGCGGAGCAAGCCAACTAACTTTATGACTATGAAACTTGCGTAGAGTATTCTGCTAATTGTAAGAGTGAAGAAAAATTAAGAAAACTCTCCAGAAGTTATGATGAGGAATTTTCGGAAGAAAACACTTAGTATGTCAGGAAGTCTTCAACGTGCAAACAGGGATACCTGGTTTTGCTCTTAGGTCATTGCCATAGTTCTTATACAACAACTTTTCACCACCATATTCCAACATATGAATTACATTTCATCATCAATTGATGTTAAATAGCTAAAATAAAAATATTCACCCTGATTTTCAAGATTAAATTTTCCATTCGACTGGTACATTTTTCAAAAAAAAAAGCAAACCTTGTGAATGAATGCTCTTCAAAGGAATATTGGGATTTAATTTAAAATGTAGGAAATCATTTCAAAACTAATTTTGCACCAGGAGAAATCATAATCATATCTTTGTCAGTCCAACCATTTGTACTATTCAAATTTAAACTGGAGGTTGATACCTAAGTTCTGAATGATAAGATTTACATTCTTCTAATGCATTGTTGTCAAACTTCATGCCCATTATCCAAAGGAGGTTGAAAAAAAAGTGCCCAGCTTTCATTCATGCAGAATTGATGTCCGTCTTGTACTCCAGATTTTTGCTTTATAATGTTTGCCAAACTGAAGCAGAGAAATTTTTCAAGGTATTAAGTTAAAATTTGGTGTCAGATTTCAGGAAAAAGCCTTCATGGTGACTTATTTTTTCTGGAACTCACCATCTCTTGAATTTGCAACCTGGCTGCACAATTATTAATGTTAATTTTTGAAGACACCTCAGAAGAGTGGTCCAGTGTTCCATTTTCTACCTCATGGTTCCATAAGAAAGTGGTTGGTGTGTTGGTGACTGAATATTTAAATTTATTGCAGTCTTCCACAATTTGATAAAAAAAAAAAAAAAGCTTTACAGAATAAGCGAAAAGCTTATCAAGGCACTTAAGAGGTGCACCTTAAAAGTCTGCAAGAGAAGCAAAATGTAGGTATTTAGGTATGACAAAGCTGAGAAAAAATGATTTATACTTACTTATTTCGCTCACCTGTCAAATACATTTTTCAGTACCTGGAGGTGTACATGAGGAATATTAGAAATCTCTACAATAACTCCTCAGCAGTAAAAGAAATGAATTTTGCTGAAGCTGCGATGGTGATTCAGAATTCACTGATTATCTTTGCCAAGAATGTCGACTCAATTTGGGCAAGAGCTATGAGCATACGGCTTCCTTTATCTGCTAACATACAGTAATTGATCAAAGTATTTTCTCAGGGTCTTAACTCTTTCAATAGAAGAACTCTCAAACTCAACTTTCAACTCTTCAACTCTTTTCTAGATGAAGATTCTCCATGTACATCCCACAAATCAAGTTAGGAAAAATATGTTGGTAAAACATGGCAGTCTGAGGCGCTTTAAGGCCCTCTCTCATGCCTAGATGGGTCCGCCGTCTGTCATTAATATGATGCAATTGCAGTTCATATCTTCACCAACAGAAAGTATATGAAGCCGTATATGCATAGATAGCGGATGTCAAGTTGTTAAGCTTTTAAGCTTTGGGAAAATGACGTTCGAAGTTTTCATAGCTGTGCACCTTTGCGTCTGTACAGCTAAAAGGGTTTCGTTAAGAAAATCATTTTAGACAATAGAGCAAATCTTTTTCTAAAAAATGAGCTCCAGGAATTTAAATTTAAAGCAAATTCCATGGAAGGGCTTGGAAGGCAAGGGGGATGAGTGCTGCTTTTGAAAAATTTTAGATATTAATGATTTAAACTAAAACTAGTCCTAGAATATATTCTGCGAAGAAGCCACTACCAAAATCCAATTTTTAAGCATCAAAAACTGAGTTAGAACTTTCTCTCTGCAACAAGGCTCCATCCTACTTTGAACTTTTCAAAACCTACTCTTGAAATAGCAAAATCTGCTCTTAGCCCACTTGTCATCCAAAGCCCTCAATTGAGATGCAGTGATTTTAAAAAAATGACCACATCTCCTGTTTTTACATAAAACTATTTTTAAGACATAAAATTAACTACTTATCTAATGTAAAAAAGGGAAAGTGCTTTTAATGAATCAACGTATGATAACTGTTGAGTTTTTCAATGATTTTTCTAAGGAACTAAGTGTTTGGTAACTTTCAAATTGGACACAAGGGTCAAATTATATTATTGATCTTCTAAAGTAGGGAAAAAATTGGAGAGGGTGCCATCCTACAGATACCTATATGCAACAGTCTTATTTATGTTTATTACTAGGTACTTTAATGTGCTTATTTACACTATCATCAAGGAGATCAATGAGCTTTTTTAAGATGAACAGGGAATTCCGACGCCCGCTTTTTTTAGGTATAACATGGTTTCATATTTATATCTCAATAGAAAATTATGCAAGAAGTCTGAAACTTGGCACCAACTCTTGAGGGTTCATGGATTCCATTAAATTGTTCCATTAAAGAGAGATCGCAATGCACAAAATGGTGGATAGGTTGACATGATGGTTCTATTGAAAGGGTTAAATTAAAAACACGGTTTTCTTTGAGAATTTAGTTAATTCCAAGTCATTTTTTGTTACATTTGTCGAGGATATTTGGTAACCTCATATTTATTCTTTTCACCCAAAAAAAAAAATAACTATGATGAAGACAATGAGGATTGTGATGTTGGAACTGGTGAAGAAGGTGCGAAGCACAAAGAAAAAGCTAAGAAGAAGAAAAAGAGAACATTTAATGTTGAAGATTTTCAACTCCTTCCTTTTCTCAATACTGGTGAGTGTGAGATTGTAGGACATGTAATCCTTTAACCAAAATTTGGAAATACTTCTTGAGACTCCCTTGACTTAAGATCTCTAACAAAGAAAATTTAAAGGTGTATCACAAATTCTAGCCCCTGTCTTCAGGGTTACATAAAGTAAGGGTGCTAAAAATACCTCATCTGCGAATCGCAACAAACAAGGCAAATCTTGGGTTGAGGGGCAACTTGCGGGAGTGATGACCCCTATTTTTCTCTCTTTTTAGCCCTTGCTTATTTTTCGAAAGTCTAGAAAACCTGGAAAGTCAAAGAATATACAGTTATCCAGGAAAGTCAGGAATTTAGGGAACTCCTGGAAAGTATCGGAATATTGCGAATAGCGCATCTGCTTAGCAACTTCAGCTAGTGCCACTGGAGAGAGTGGAAACAATTTTATAGTGTCCTTTCTTGTCAATTAACTGATCAAATTCTCTATCATTTCATCAGTCAAACTGTCTATTCATTAACCTGTTAGATTAACCAGTCAAATTGGTTTTTGAGCAACCAATCAAATTATCTGTCAATCAATAAGTTGGATCATCTGTTTCATTGACTAGAAGTCTCTCCATTGACAAGGCAAATCATTTGTCTATGGACCATTCAACTCCCCTTTTGATCTATCAGTTGAATCTTCTTTCGATCAACAAGTCAAATTTTCTATCAATGGAACTTCCGATCCTAATCAATTTACCTTTTTTTTTATTTTTCAGATAAAAATATTGATATGAAACTAGACAAGAAAGAGGATAAACTAGCAAAGCAATCAGATAAACTTGTCCTCCCCACCTTCTTGAACACCAAAAGTGGTTAGTAAATCGAGAGATATTTTCACTTCTGAAGGAGAAGCAGTCTGGAAAATGGATGAATTCAGGTATAGACTATTGTTTTTCCTACAATACCAACTTGTATTATTAATAGTAAATGTGTCTTCTATTTCAGAGCAGCCACTGTTAGTAAAAATATCAGGAAAAATTACGAAAATCGGTCATGAATCAGAAAATTCCGAGTGTGTCAAGCATTCTTCAACTATTTGCAGTTTAGCACATGGAAAAGTGAAACATTTTATTCACTTCATTACATATGTTGGTTTTTGTAATTAGACAATTATCGATTCATTCAGGTAAAAAATCAGGAAAATCCAAAATGTAATTTTAGCAGATACATTGTTTTCGAAATGTTTTAAAGTCTCACAAAACGTTGATCTTATGATAAATCTGCAGGAAATTGTCAAACTCCATCCAAATACTTCTTTTATTACACATTTTTTTAATTAATCTGCAGGGTTTTCGGCGTTCAAGAAAACCTGAAAAGTCTAAGACTTAGGCAAGTAGCGCATCAGCTCAGCAACTGCAGCCGGCATTATTTTTAGAGAGCAGGGACAACTTTCAAGTGCCTTTTTCTAAAATTTAAATCTAAGTGGAAATTTCATGCAAAATTTACCAGCAGTCAGCGTAATTCTGAGGGAAAAAATCTATGATGTAGTTTTGTCCAAAGATCAGGGAAAAACAGAGAATCACAAAATTCTGGAGTCAGGAAAAAGCCAAAAAAGTCAGGCAAATGAAGCAGTTATGAGATCCCTTTTCGCAAAATCATTCAGCCTCGATTTTTAATCTACAATTTTGTGAGAGTTTATCGATGTTTTTATTGACGCCTAAACTATGTTAATAAATCTTCTGCTCTTCTCCAGCTCATTTTATTTATTTTTTGAAGAAAGTAATTTTCCCAGATTATTCTGTTAATTGAGAGACTTCGGCGATTTTAAAGAAAGTCACATTCATGAGTTTTCACCTTTCAGCTCCAAATATTTTTCCAAATATTGTCTCAATTTATCGCTCAAGTCAGACACATTAAAATTACCCTAAGTAATCCGTGATTGTTTGTCCTTAGGGTCGATTACCTAGTTCATTTTATTATACTCCACCTCTTTTTTCCCCAGATTATTTTGGCCCATTACGGAAAGTGGTTACCTTCAAGAAGATAATGAACCTGAAGATCGGTGTGTGTTTCCTGAAAGAATCATCAAACAAAGTTTTACAGGTACAAAATACATTTGTATCCCTTGAACAGTCGAATCAACCATTATAAAAACAATCTACGTATCTCCTCTTTCTTAAAAACTGTTCCACGCACCTATTTTAATGTCTAATCTTGAAATCATCAACTCTTTGGAGTTTAACCTAAGTTGAGAACTTAAAAACTCTTTTGAGCAGATAAAAAAATGAAAATTAGTAAATTCTTTTAGAGTTGTAAAGAAATGTTTAGGTTAAAGAGTCAAGTTGTTTTTTATACAGCTGATTTTTCTGTGTAATTTTGATCTTGAACTATTGGCTTGGAACAAAATATTTTACGGTAGATGTTCAATCATTGAAGTTGAGTGATTTGCCTCTCAGTTAGTTTTCTTAAGAATTAAACGCGGTGCATTTTACTTGTTCCGAAAATGATAGTATCGGAGTTTGGAGTTTGGCAGCAATCATGTCCGCCTACAGTAGCGCGCTGTCATGTAAAGTTCATTTTGGCAACTGCCGAACTCAAAAGATTTCTCCAATAAAAAATGGTGTATGATATATTGAACACAAGTATAAAGAATGCATTGAGTGCCTCCACAAATAATGTTCAGTACTATGAAGTTTTTTTAAAGCATTTTTTCTGCATTTTCACTCTGTTATCTATATTAATAAAAGCGCCACTCCACTGACTGATCTCTGTATCTCTGGATCGTTTGATCGGGATGTTCCCATTTTTGGCATGAGGGCTCCTTGGGGGTTGGTGACATGAGATAAGCGGCATTTTTCTTAGGGATGCATTCCACCCCAAGTTACACAGGTACGTAAAAGTATCGTAAAGGAGGTAGCTGGGGGAGGATCTTCGACTCATCGATTTTCGAATAATCGACCTATCGATCTTTGACTTATTGATTTTTGATCTCTTCGACTTATCGATCTGCTATCTATATTAATAAAAGCGCCTCTCCACTCACTGATCTCTGGATCGTTTGATCGGGATGTTCCCATTTTTGGCATGAGGGATCCTTGGGGGTTGGTGACGGGAGATAAGCGGTATTTTCTCCAGGATGCATTCCACCCCGAGTTACACAAGTACGCTAAAGGATTGTACACGATAGTATAAAACATTGTGTTCATTCATTAACCAGGATAAAAGGAAAGATCCATCATCCCTCATCTCTTTGTTTATTCATCATCGATATATCATTTGATACAAAGCTGACCATATATACCAATCTGATAAACATTCCTGTCTTAATCTAATTATTAGTTACCCTGATTTTTGAAAAAACATCAGTGAAGGTTGCCAAATCTTTTCTACTGTGAACGGTAGAAATAATCTGACAAAGATTGAATCATATTACATCACCTAAGCACAAAATTATTTGGTTATTGAGGCAAAAAAGAAAAATTAAATGGTATGTTGATCTATTTTTTTCCTGAAAAATCTATGTTGTAATGTAAATTTCTCCTCTGTAAATCCCCAGTGTATTTCCAGATTCGACTCTCAAGGTTGTATCCCTTTTCATGTCCTCACAATGTCAATAAAAGTAAACTGAGGTAATTTTTGGACAACTTTTTCAGAGGCTGCCAGGCATCCTGTTAATGAGGAAATTTTCAATAATGACATGGATCCCTCGATGATGGACGGACACAATCCTCTGTCCCCGCCTTTTCCAACACCACCTCCAACCCCTTTGCCTTTGGACCTTCCCATGAACTATTCGCCTAAAAGTTTGAAAGATACTCAAGAAGAAACTGAGGAATAACAAGTGTGTTGGCAGAAGTAAGTAAAAAAATAGTGTATTTCCTTCGGAAAATACACTAAAAGCTGTATGAACTTTCAGGCGTCAGTAAACTTCCTTTGATAAAACATTAATTTATTGGAAAAGCTGTAGTTATTTTTCTTCCAATTTTTCGGACAATTATGTTTGCAAGTAAATCCAAAATATTTGAAACACCATGGAAAAATATTTCTATCTAAATAATGTTTTTATCGGAGGAAATTTGGCAGCATTTTAATGTTCTTTAATGCAATTTTCCATAGCACATCACAAGAAAATAGAATGGTTTGATTTTGATGCGAGAAGCTGAGGAAGAATATTTTTGAAAACAGTTACGTATATTTTGTCTAAAATTTGAGGATTTTTGATGGCGAACCTGCTTTTTATTGTAATTATTTTGCTTTATTTCTCTCTGGTCAATTTTTTTTTTATTATTAATACCTAATGAAGCTTTTCCCTTCTTTTGATTTTTGTAATTTTCTTCATAAAAACTTTGTATAATATGCATGGTTTTTTTGATGAGATCAAGCATTTCTTGAAAATGATGATCAAAACACCCAGCTGTATCATAAGCGTAAAAATGTTATTTTTATCTTACAGTGATGAGCTTGTCTCAAAGGATAATTTCTTTCAAAAAGTCTTTTTCAAAAAGTTAGCACGGCTTGTCATGATAAATATTTTTTCAGTAATGGATAAATCTTTCGTTCGCTGATTTTACCGTAGACTTTTTTCCTTTTGAAAAACCACAGCCATTTCAGGCTTGTACCCATTGTCAGGTTTTTAAATAAAAGATGAACATAAAAATGTAATTTACTAATTTTGCATTAATTTCATTTTTTGTTTTAGGTATATCATGACAATGTGCCCAAGTTTAAAATGGCAGCAGAGATTTTTAAGGAAAAAATTCTTCAGTTAAATCAGTTGAATTCAGTTCAGATGAATTTATGCATTTCTAAATCAACAGTGCCGATAATTTTAAACAAAACTTGACTGTCCATCCCTCAAATCATGATTTAACGAGTTCTTCATTTAATTTCTTTTCAGAATACCAAAAAATCCAGAGCAAGAAAACATTGTGTCTCTAGATAATGTCATAGCAAAAGCGTGGGAACCCATACCTTTGGACAAAGGCAATTCGAATCGGCCTTTGGTAAAACGTAGAGTAAACAAGTTGAATACAAGTAATTCGTCTAGTTCGGTTAGTGCTACTTTTCTGAATTTCTTTTCCATTTTCCTCTCTCTGACTTGTTCTGCGTTAATTGTAATACCTGTAGGACTGTGATGCACATGACTTGGGTACCTTTTATGTAGCTTCTAAAGCAGTGGCAAGGTGTGCTTCGCGATGTATCGATTGATCTGCCATTTAAACCTATGGAGAAGAATCAATAAACAGGGTGTTCGTAACGAACACCTTAATAATCGATTCTTTACTAAAGCTTCAAATAGGGAAATATTGGTAATCGATTGTTCACGCCACGCCACTGTTCTAAAGGCCATTTTCCAGGAGCATAAAATAACTTGAAAAATTGAGTTTGGTTCATCTGAGGATTGACTGATATAATTTGATGCAGGACCACAAGTTTTGTGTAAAATCAATCTTTTTTTTCATAATTGTTTCTTTCTTTTTTAATACCCTCAAAAACACTTGCAGCATTCGATAGATGAATGAAATTTCTTAAATATCGATCGATCAAATTATCATGAGGTGGCAGGTCTTATGATTAATGAAACTCCACCAAATTAACTAATGCACAATTTTTTGAACATTCAAGCAACGAAAATGGCTGAAGTTAACTTTTAAACAAAATTTATCGGCGTTTTTATTTAGCATTGGTCACAAAAAATTTCCTGTTCTCAAGAAAAACAAGATTTTACTTGAATCAAATTGGGCTTTGTATACAAGTTTTTGTAGGCTTCTTAACCCATTGACTGAAAGCGACGAGTGGGACTCCTGCGCGCTGCGCCGGGCCGGATCTGAAGCGACAAGTCCCACTCGTCCTAAGACTTGGCAACATTATTTGCATTGTTTTGGGTGTCTCCCGACAGAGAGCGCTACATATATCGACTCATGTGAACACAGTGACAAAACTTTCTCATATTTTCCCGATCTGGTCCATTATTTCCCCGATTATACGGTAATTTTCAAGTTTAGAAAATAACCCTCATTTTTCTTTTTGTAATAAAATCTCTATCTTATAATATAAGTAACCTGCGCTACCTCTTGGGTTTGTAAACCAAAAAGAAATAAAAGGGGGGGGGGGAGGCCAAAATGAAAAAAAAAAGGAAGAAAAAAAAATGGTGGTGGAAATGGTTAAAAGTAAAAATGGAAGTCATATTCATCAACCAGGCAATTTTTCTCTCTGTATAGTCTAGTAATAAGTAACCAATTAAATTTTTTTGAGTTAGTGGCTCTACAAGCCCCAAAAATCTGATTTTATAAGGTAAAGGTGAAATAAGCAAATCAGGGCAAAAATTTAAAATACTCATTTTGGGCTCGGAAACCCAAAATTAATTAATCAGTCAATGGGTTAACAAAACAGCTTTCCTTCTTCGTCCTGCGTTGTCCAAAGTTTAAACAACATCCAACAGCTAAGCCTAAGCTCCGAGATTGAGATTCGTGTGTGCTCATACCTCTGAGACTGTGAGAGTGATGTTTAGTGTGCAATTTATCTCAAATAGATCATGGTTTTCCTATGAGCAGGAAGTTTGAATATGCATATTGAAAAACGTCGATGTCTTGATAAGGAGTTATTTTTAATTTGTTCTACATGAAATTTTGATGACAATAAACAAGTGTTTTAATGTGCAAATTTGCACTTAGTCTTTTTAGTGGTCCATTAAAAGATTACTCAGTGTAATAAGTATTTTCCTCAATGACTTCCAGCATAACAAAAAAGTGACAAGAAAACTTCCATGCAATGATGAACTTGTTTTTTTACGATGTATTGTCTTGAACATTATCTAAACCAGTGAGAAATTTTCTCATTCATCTTTATCATTTATCATAAGTTGATTTCATTCTGTCTTCTACAGAGAAACAAGAAGAATAGAGGAAAGACGGATACAGAGTCAGAAACGTTTATTGTGTCAGAAATGTTCACAAAGGGTAAATACTATCTTAACAAAAGCCACGGGTTTGATCCATGGGTTCTAGCGGAATTCCTCGCGGTACAGATGAAAAGACTGAAAGACGCTCCCAACAGAAAGAAAAAAATATTAGGTAAGTGAAACCATCTCTGAAAATAAGAGTTTTAATTATCTGCAGGAAAAGCTAAAGTGACCTTCGTCCACAAGAATTCAAAATTGAGGTGCTGTCTATAAAAAGGGTCTTTGGTGCCCAGGACCCCTTATGCAGGAAACAAAGTAACTGATTCTCATGATTGATTGTTAAAAATTTCAAAACTAATAATCCTCAAAAACAGAAACAAAAAATAAAACATGGTCAGGCCGAAAATCTTTGTTGGATCTCATTTGAATAGTGGAATCCAAAACATTCTCCCAAGGTAATTGTACTCAATTTTTACTCATGCTCTGATCCCTATTTGTTAGAAGTTACAGTAGTCTTTCTTTTCTTTCTGATAGATTTAAAAAAATCACTTTAATGTGTCTGTCAGGAGAGTCTGCAAGAATTGATCGAAAATGATTCGGAAGTTAGGGTAGCGAGTTCGTGAAAAGTCATTGAAAATCTGAAAAAGTCCGGGAATTTTGCTGCGGACTCTTGATTTCTTTCTTTCGATGGCAACATTTAATTATTCTCTATCACAACCACAAGCTCCATTGCAGAAATTAGAACTTTGAGTGCTTGAATTTTGGATTTTTTCAATTTTTGGAAACTTAGTGAGAGAAACTTTTTGTCAAAAGCATTTTTATAAGAAATATCAGAAATAAAAGCATTGAAAATGCATGAAAAAGTCTGGGAATGTAACACTCATGTAAATGAAGAGCTTGTGCATTTTTATACATTTTCAAAAATTAATTTAACTATTTTGTCTTTGCATCTGTTTTAGAAATGTTAGATGCTGCTTCAGAGTACGAAGGAGGTGAGTTTTTTCTTTTGTTGACCGTTTTTCTGAACATAGATCAAGTTTGAAAAATGATTCGTCTTTTTCCGGACATGAGAACGCAATTTTATTCCAAGGTCGCAAAATTGGCATTGGTTTGCCAAGGCATTGGTTCATTTCCTTTTAAAGAAAGAAAATTGGAACAGAGATTTTGAAACATTGCAAACAAGATATGCATTTTTACAGTTTCACTGTTGATACGTACTGAAAATACTGCGGCTAGTAATGTGCTAACAACTACTTCTAGTTTTACTCATGGTGTCTAGAATGGGAAAACCGGGATTCACCAGGGAATGAAAATTTATAGAGAAAATCAGGGAAAAATCAGGGAATCTGTTCCAGAAACCGGGAATCTCTTGATCTATTTCTAACGCTTATGGATCATTTCGTTTTCAAATTTGGCGGTCTAATCTGATCGAGCGCTATTGTTGACTTCTTGAGTGACACATTTGAAACTTCAAATCATTAAAAGAATGGAGAAGCTTTCATTCACCCGATATTATAAACATCCGGAACGCTATCGGAATTAAAATCGATATTCATAAATGGAACTCTGGAGAGTTATATTCTTTTCCCCCAGAAAATCGCGGGGAAGTAGGAGAGAAGTACGATTTCTTATCAGGGAATGAGCTCCTGTAAATCAGGGAAAATCAGGGAAAAATCTGGGAATAAGCCTGGTCAAAAATTCTAGACACCGTGGTTTTCCTGGACATATTTACCAAGTTTGAATTTTATATTTTTTTATTTTTCAGTATCATCACAGGAGGTTTGCTCTATCACTCCAAGTAGAACACAAGCAGTTTTCGGTCAAGGTGCAAATCCCTCTGCATATATTCTACCTGTGTCTGCAGTTGTACCATGCCTAAGTTTTTTCGTACGTTGTCCACTTTTTGGAGGAGCCTCCAAGCTTAACTTAGTTTGTCATCAGAGGACTCATGAAATGCTGTTCCAAAACGTCGAGTTTTAAAGAGGTGAGTTATTGAACTTGTACATGTTTCTTTGAACTATTTTAACGGGGTTTCTGGTGGTCTGTGGAACCTGAAAAGTCAGAGACTTTAATGGGGAGCTTGGACAGTCAAGGAACTAAAGATTGTGAACTTTAAGTCCATCTATTATGTACACAGCTCATTTGTAAAACTGAATCACATTTTTCTGCTCTATGAAAAGAATATTCTGGGAGAAATTCAAGCCAATGTTGGTTTCGTCTCCTTTCAAAATATAAAATAGGGGCAGAGATTTTAAAACACCGCAACTGCATTTTTACTTTTGATACGCAACCAAAACACTGTAGCAAGGAATGTGTTAACAATAACAACCTACTCTGCTGTGTTAAGGATAGACGCTGTACGAACATTCACACTTTACCAAATCTCTCCCAGTCAAGAAGTAATTTTTGAGGTAACTAAGGAATTTTTTTCCCTCGAAATTTTCTATCCAACTAATAATTTTATCTAAGATTGCGAATCATCTTCTCTGCAAATTGGGAGGAGTATGTTTACGAATTTCCCTTAAAATTCTTTATCAAGATAGATTAGACAACATATAAATGCTCATAAGGCGTTCTTCTTTACTACAGCAGTAATCTGCTGTATTTATCCGGCTTGAAATTCATATTGTTTTGGTTTTCAGCCGGCATCATTATAATGGGTTACCTCTACCACTCAAAGTAGAACACAAGCGTTCTTGTTCAAGGTGCTAATTCCTGTACATAAAGCTAAGTATTGGCGGTTATACCATGCCCAACTACCTCACTGTGTTTACTAGTTTTTGGAGGAGGATCCAACCTTTACATTTTTTTAAAACTTCAGAGATCTTCTGCTCTTTTCGAAGGATTTTCTTTGAGAATTTTAAACCATGATGTTGGTTCGGTATCTTTTTAAAGAAATAAAATAGGAGCAGAAATTTTTGAAGCAACACAACTGATATACACTATTTGCAGTTTCACCATCGCTATGTACCTGAAACATTGTGGTAGGCAACTTATTAACCATAACTTTTACTACTGTACTGTATTCTTCCAGCTTGAAATTTTCATTGTTTTATTTTTTAGGAGGTTTCATTGGATTTTCTCTACAAAGCGAAGTTGAACACAAGCAGTTCTTGGTCATGTTCAAGGTGGTAATTCCTCTACATAGTGACTACTAGTGTCGGCGGCTATAGCATCCCTAACTTGCTTACTGTGTTTTCTATTTTTTGAAGACTGATCTGCCTTTAACTCGTCAGAGGACTGTTTAAATACTGACCCAGAACATCCAGTTGAAAAGAGGTGAGTTCTTGGTCTTGCTTCTATATTTTATAATCTTTACCAAGTTACCAGTGGTCTGCAGAACCCAGAAAGTGAAGTTAAGGTTTAATTAATGTGCATACAGGTAGTGTCGAAATATGTGTGTGTATGTCAAAAGTGTGATGTCATTCCTAATAGATGAGATATTTCTAAGGAGAAGAATGATTCTCCTTTCTCATGGCAAGCTAAAAACCTTAATTTTTTCATCATTTACACTTAGTTTGCATCTGACTACAGTTTTGAATATGGCGCTCATTTATTAAGTCTTAAAAAGCCGAGCCACAGTGTGTTTGAGTACATTAGAAACTGACAGACCACCACCCAGTCCATCCAACAAAGAGTCACAATGCAAGAACTTGCAATCTGCCTTGTCCAAAAAGGATGGATAGAACACTTCTAATGAAAGCAATGAGAATTAAAAACTGGGAAAAATTAGAATGTTCAGGAGACGTCAAAAACTGCACAGTAGGTGAAATGGTCAGTGTAAAAAAGCTTTTTAGTGCCAAGAAAGGTGTATGGAAAGACACTCAAAACGCTAAATTGCAATGGATGCACTGTAAGTACGCATGGATGCGCTACTGTGCAGTTTAATGAGTCCCCTGAACATTAACATTTTTCTAAGTTAGCATTTTTTCATCCTCACTGATTCAATTACAGCCCTTAAAGCAAACATAGAGTCAGTATTTTGAAGTGGGTTAAAGAAGAATTTTTCCTTTACAATTTTTTTATTTAATCATTAGCCTAGTTTTACGAAATTATAACAGGAAAGAACTTTTTTTATCTAACTATAGAAAGCGCTGCAAGGGCCAGCAAAAAGGAAAGTAACCTCAAGAGATACAAAATGGTGCGGTTCTACCGTTCCAGAAATTTGTACCCCACAGAGCTTTCAACGCATCCTATTGATCGAGGCTTGTAGCCATCTACCACGCACTCCCTGTAACTCTGAACGATTGGCCAGTGCATCTTGTCCCTGTATCAGTACACGCTGGAAAAATCAATTTAATAAGCCCTAATGATTTGATGGATTCTACAATTAAAGCAGTACATTTCAGAATGCAGCTTTTATTCAGTTTCAATTCAAAAGTTTCTCAGCAATTCTAATTATTTTTATTTCCGCATTTTCCAGATGGGCAAAGAAAATTTGAATTCCCAAATAAATTGGGAAGCATTGTTGGCTAGTGGAGTGCCAATCAGCTTTGACTTCAACATCATGGATCATGTACCTGATGGTAACTACACCTATGTTCTTGTGGATACCTCTGATTCTTTTTCGCTTCAAAATTTTCCGCAAGATCCACCTTACCAAGATCCAGTCGTTGACTTAACAAAACTAGTTCTTCTGCTCTTCCTGTACAAGACTCAATTTTTCAAGATCCAGTTGTTGATCTTACCAAACCTACTTCTTCTAGTCTGACTCTACAAGAATTGATTTTTCAAGACCTTCTTGTTGAACATACCAAACCTAGTTCTTCTATTTTACAAACTTCTCCTCTATCGTCCCAAAATTCTGTTAAAATTGACTCTCCTAAATTGAAAAAACAAACGTATTAATCAAAGACAAATGAACAAAATGGCCGCAGATGCAGGGTCCAATAAATTAATGAAGCCAAATCCATGCTGTGATAATACTTCCTGTTATTAAAATTGTAAAAGCATCGAATAGCCCTTCGAATATTTTCATGGTTAAATTGCCAAAGAAATCAGGTTTTTTCTTATTCGGGTCGTTGGAGGTGCCCTCAAACATGCAATTTCACCATCAAGCACATGTTTTCTATCCATCTTTTCACGAGGAATCGATTTTACTGGTTTTCAAAACAATATATCGATGTTTTATTCGATTTTTGCGAAAAATTTGATAATTTTTAGCACTAATTGAATCAAATTCTATTAATTAGTGATATATGGGCAAAAGTTTTAATGCATAAGTAAACTAGTGCTCACATAAACTTTTAAACACAAGTCACTTACCCTCAAAGCCGTGTATACTGACCATTCTTCAGTTTGGGTACTAGATGATCGCCAGAATGGCGGGATTCTTGGCGTTGCAGCGATCGTGTTTCATGGCCCATCAGTCGAAAAAACATTCTTTTCGAAATCCGACGACGGGTAGTGAAGGTGAGTTGCCTTTTGGCATCAAATGACAAGGAAAAAATCCTGGCTCCATAGGACAACACTTTCATCGAAAACATTAGGCTCGAACTTCCAAAATCTCAAATTTTCGTTTTTACGAAGTTTTTTTTCTAAGATAATTTCTGGATGATAGAAAATACATAACTGACACGTACCATGCGTGTTTTCATAGATAATTAGAGTCAAGGAATCGATTTTTGTAGTTGAAAAATTAAGATATCGATTTTATCGAAATTCACCTGAGAACCTCAACTCTACAAGGCCGCCATGGATACCAGGATGGTCAAAAAAATTTTAAAATTGGTTCTTGTGCTTCCATTGGAGAGCTTAAGAAGTAACCTAATTATAAAAAAAAAGTCAGGGTCGGTCAAGCAAGAGTCCCTGGATGATTTCGCCCGGAATGACCCATCAGCGAATTCAGTTTGAAAACTCGTATGAATTGTACCTTAGTTGTCAACATTTCTACGCACTTTAAGCAGGTGTAACCCCGTTACCCATTGAATGTTTTCACGAGGAATCTATTTTTGAAGTCAAAATGTCGATTTATTTGATGACTCAAAATTTCTTGGGGTATACACAAAAAAAATCGCTTTTTCGGACGAAGTATCGCTAGAAACGACTTTTTAAATCGATATCTGAATTTTTAACCACAAAAATCGATTTCTTGACTAAAATTATCTACACTGGAAAAAAACACATTGTATCTAGAGTCCAGACTCTTGAAAACATTGACAAGAAAAAGGACTCTTGATCCAAGCAGATTAAAGCTGAAATCAAAAGGAAATCCGCTCAAATTAAGAGGTTTGGTTCTTGATTTAAGCTTAAATCTGATTGAATATGACAAAGTATCGCAAGAAACGCTATTTTAAATCGATATCTTATTTTTTCAACTACAAAAATCGATTCCTTGACTCTAATTATCTATGAAAACACGCATGGTACGTGTCAGTTGTGTATTTTCTATCATCCAGAAATTATCTTAGAAAAAAAACTTCGTAAAAACGAAAATTTGAGATTTTGGAAGTTCGAGCCTAATGTTTTCGATGAAAGTGTTGTCCTATGGAGCCAGGATTTTTTCCTTGTCATTTACTACCTGTCGTCGGATTTCGAAAAAAATGTTTTTTCGACTGATGGGCCATGAAACGCGATCCCCAATCTGAATCTGCAAACCCCATCAGATTGTTGTTTGATTTTTTGTAGGTAAGGCAGTGATTGGAAGTACCTTTTAGGTAACGAAGAATGCGTTTGGCACTGGTCCAATGTTGATGATTAGGCCGTTTTGAGAATTGACTAAGGAAGGTAACAGCATAAGAAATATCTGGTCTACTTGTGACGGAGAGATACAATAAGGAGCCAATGAGTTGTTGATAGGTTTTTTCTAAACTTGGATCGGCTGGTAGATCATCAAATTGTGTTTTGATAATTGGAGTGGAGACTGGTTTGCAGTTGGTCATGTTGAATTTTTCGAGTAATTCTAAAATGTACTTTTCATGACTTAATTTAATTGTTTTAGATTTTTCATTTTGAGTGACAGCCATACCTAGACAATTAGATATTTTTCCTAAGTCTTTAAGGTTGAAAGATTTGAACAGTTTTTTCTTCAAGAATTTAGTTTCTTCCTGATCATTACTAAACGTGAAGAAGTCATCAACAAAAACTGCAATAATTGTTAATTTTTTGTCGTGTCTTTTATAATAGACACACGGTTCATGTTTAGAGCGTTGATAATTACTATTGATGAGAACTGAGTTTACTTGTGAGTTCCAAGAACGAGGTGCTTGTTTTAGACCGTAAACAGCTTTCTTGAGGCGTAACACTTTGTTTTCAGGAAGAATGAGACCTTCTGGCGGTTTCACATAAATTTGTTCATTTAGTTCTCCGTGGAGAAATGCATTCATGGCATCAAAATGATAACAATTTAAATTGAAGTGTACAGATAAAGCAAATAGTAGTCTTAGTGTAGAGTGCCTTACCACAGGTGAAAACGTTTCTAAATAGTCTATACCGTAGCGTTGTGCACAACCTTTAATTACTAGCCTTGCTTTGTTTATTTGATGATGATCACTTGGATTAATTTTAGTTTTGAAAACCCATTTAGTCTCTAAAAGCTTTTGGTCATGGGGTTTATCTACGATTTCCCACGCATCGTTGTTTTCGAAGGATTGTAGTTCTTTTTCCATGGCTCGTTTCCATTCAGGATCTTTTAGAGCTTGTTTAGGTGTGTCGGGTATTTCTTGGTTGTTAGGATGAATTAAAGCTTGCCAAAGTTTGTAATCAGCAGTCCAGGCAGGAAGATTGTGAGGTCGCGTAGGGCGTTCTTGGACATCAGTTTCTGAAGTTAATTGCGGTTGAACAGCTTGAGAATCTGGTAATAATTCTGAAATAACGGTTGTCATTTGGTCAGAATTGATAGACTCGTACGATTCTTCATGTGAGCTGTTTTCTGATGAACTGATATCTTCTTCATCTTCTTCTGTGAGATCAGCAGTTTCTTCAAAAGATGTAGATTTCATTTTGTTTGAATTTTCTGCCAAATTTGTAACTTTTTCAATTTGTATTTTTGATTCATTTGTAATTGGTTTATTCTTTGTTTGAGATTCTTTTGTAGATTGTGGTGTCTGTTTGCTTGTAGATGCGACATCATTTTGTTCACTGAGTGTTTGAGAATCATCTGTAGATGTGCTGGAAAAGAATTGCGGTTCATTGTTGTAGTTGAGTGATGAATCTTTATTTAAAAATGAGGTTTCATCAAATATGACGTCTCTAGCTTTTGTAAAGACTGTAGGATTTTGCGGGTCGATAAGTCTATAGGCTTTACTATTCTCGCAAAAACCAACAAAAATCATGATTTTACTTTTAGCATCTAGTTTGTTTCTTTTAACTTTGGGTAAGTGACAATATGCTTTGCAGCCAAAAATTTTGAGATTCACTAAATTTGTGCGCTCACCTGACCACATTTCTTCTGGTGTATGGTCTGGAATTGCTCTGCTTGGAGATCGATTCTTGAGAAATGCAGCATGATTTACTGCTTCTGCCCAATATGATTTTGGAAGATTTGCATCAAACAGCATACATCTGGCTTTTTCGAGTAGCGTGCGATTCACCCTTTCTGCGACTCCATTCTGTTGAGGAGTGTAATCAACAGTAGTTAAATGGCGAACACCTATATCATCGAAAAAATTATGAAATTTAGAATTATCGTATTCTTTGCCATTATCAGAACGTAGGCATTTAATGGATCGATCTGATTGTTTCTCAACTAAGTTTTGGAAGATTCGAAATTTGTTAAATACTTCACTTTTAGCTTTGAGAAAATATACCCAGGTTTTTCGAGTAAAGTCATCGGTAAAAGTTAGAATGTACTTTGCTCCATTGTGTGACGGTACAGGCATTGGGCCACACAAATCAGTATGAATAATTTCTAATTTGGCTTTGGCTCGAGAAGAAGATTTGCCGAAGGGCAATGATGTTTGTTTTCCTAGAACACACTGTGCGCACGGTTTGTTTACTCGAGAGTTTTGATATGTGATGCCATCAGCTAGACTATTTTTAAGAAGATTCATGGAGCGCATATTTAAGTGACCAAGTCTGCGATGCCATAAGGTTTGGTTGTCCTGCAACGCTAAGTTTGCTGAAGTAAAGGAAACTTCAGTTTGCTGTTGAGGAAACTCATTGGATTGAACATCTAATTTATAAACACCATGAAATAGAGATGCTGTTGCAATAATATCTCCATCAGAATTGATGATTGTTCCTCCTTCATCATCAAAGAGGACAGATAAACCTTTGGAGATTAATCGGCTTACAGATAACAAATTGACAGTTAAATCAGGCACATACAACACATCATGAACTTCAATCGGTTCTGTGGATCCTTGCAACTTAATCAAACAATTACCTTGACCTTGTGATTTAATGACCGTGTTACTGGCAGTAGTGATACATTCTGGTGGTAAAGTTTGAAATTCAGTGAGGATCTCACGATAGCATGTCATATGCTGCTTGCTGGCGCCAGAGTCTAGAAACCATTCATTACAACTAAAATTAAAAGATGCTAGTGCTGTGAAAAAAGAGTGTTTAGGTTTCTTTTTCCCATGTTGTTGATTTGTTTTTATGTCTGAGTCTTTGCCATTAGAATGAGATGAGGATGATGCTGAGGCATTGTTAGTGGATGTGTTTGACTCACCATTTCCTTTGGGTTTCTTACGGCAGTTAACAGTGCGATGACCTAATAAACCACAATAATTACATTTAATAGTTTTGTAGGGTCGTTTACCAGTGAAGAAGGCTTGCGCATTTTCTTCTACTTTCTTATCGGCATGGTCTAGAAGCTTACTCTTGATAAGGTCAGACGTGATTTTAGTCTGAGAATGCTCTAGAGCTAGGACCATTGCATCAAAATCTGCAGT